CAAGCCTGGGGCTACGTAAAGTTTTAACTGAGGCGCACTATAGTAATACACACTATCACCCTTGATGATGTGTGCATTCCACAGTACACACAGCAGACCAAAACAATCAGGCAGAGACATAATTCTTGCTTTAAAGCCTTCTACTGATTTCTCACTGCACTTAAAAAGAGGTCCAAAGTCCCCATCCCGAGTTGTGAGGGCCCATGTGGCTGGGCATCTGCCTGGCCTGTTCAGTCATTCTCCCTCACCCCACAACAGGCCTTCTCTTGGTCTCCCATGTTTGCTAACAAGGAAGCTCTCTCTGCTTGAAACATTTTTTCCCTGGACTTCTTCACAGTAGTTTTTAACCTCATTTTGATGTTAGTTTAAATGTGACCTCCGCTGTCACATCTTGCCTGAAAAGCTACTTGCAGTGAACCAGATTTAGAAAACTTCCCCTTTTCTACCAGCCTCCTGGGCCCGCCTTCCTAGACTTTACATCTTCCTAGGAGAGTTAAAGTGAAGCCTCAGTATAAGTCACTGCCACTCTGACATGGACCCAGATCTTCATTCCCCATCCTTGACATCTATGAACTTGGTATATCTGGAACACTGCTTTGTTCTTTGTCTTGTTTATTTTCTCTTGTTGAGACAAAATACCTGATGTCCAAAATTAGGGAAGGAAAGGTTTATTTATCTTACAGTTGTGGAGGTTTCAATCCATAATCCGCTGGCTCAAGGCAGGGTGGCATGGCACTGGGGCAACAATTCAAGGCTGCAGCCAGAGCAAAAGGAAGAAAACAAGCCTCTTCTCCTGGCTTGACTATACACAGGCCGCCCCGCCTCCACCCACTTCAGGGTGGGTGTAGCACTCTCCTTGCCCTCCTTTGCACAGGATGAAGATATTTACAAAGTAAGAATCTTGGCCCCCTGCTGAGCCTCGCAGTTAAACTTCTAAACTTCTCAGGTTGACAGTGTATCAACCGAAACATTCTTCCCCTATTTCAATAGTTGTGAATAAAATCCATCTTCATCCCTTTCAACTAGTATTTGTCTTTCTTTTTGACAGTAGCCACCTGGTCTGGTATCAAATTATCCTACTTCAATTATCTGCACAGAATTATTCATGTAATTATTAGGATATTTATTTGTTTCTACATGAGGAAGGAAGAATTGGGACGAGAGATACTGTATCTTGATCACTGCTTCATTTTCAGTCTGCAGAGCCGAAACTCAGAAAACTGGCAGTGGTTACATCCACAAGAAATTTGGTTAAGTGAGATCAAATGATAGATCTGAAAGGACAGAAAACGTACACAAGAGGATGCTGAAAATTAGTATCTCTCTCTATCAAATTTACTATAAAAAGGTAAAAATGTATAAAACAAATGTTACAAACTGTGCCCTCCAGTTTCTTTGCAACACCTCATGGTGTACCTTATAAATTTTTCCCTAAATCTATATATTATTTTAAGATCAGAAAAATATTAAAAATAGCATTAAAATATAATTTAATAAATTACTATGTCAGTTTAAAAATGTGTGTCTTGAGACAAACCATTTACTTGCTGTAAGTTCTCAAAATTATTAATTCTGTTCCAAAAGACAAGCACATAAAAGTGAAATAAGCAAATTTTCACAGGGGAAAAAAATTGCCAAAAATAGTTTCTTTGTCCTTGAAGTTTAAAAATGTAAAAGATCTTAAATAATAAAATACAGGAAATAGTAAAATAACAGAGCAAATAATATAATAGAGGAAAGGAAAAAGAGAATAAGGATCTCCTATTTCATAGCTGTGGCATTATGCTTTTAGGGAGTCAAGATGAAAGGCTGTTTTCTCTGTATGTTATGACTCAGTAGTAAGTGCTAGTGACCCCCCCAACTCCTGTTACCCACTACGGTTACCACTGCTGCTGCTACTGTGACCCACCCACCGCTGACAAGCCATATAGGAACATAGTGCTTGCTCACTATTGTCCCCACACTGATGTTACTCACAGGGCCATTTATGGTATATCATCTGTTGGTTGTGACTGCTGCTTACCATTTTATGACAATCACTATCACTGAGGTTGTTTTTAAATTATTATTGTTTATTTGGGTAAATGAAAAACTTAGATTACATTACATGGAAACCCATGAATTAAACCCACTAATTAAAATATTTAGAATAAAATTAAAATATCTCTCACTTTGCCAATTACTTCAAAAACTATGACAGAATTTACCGGGCATGGCCCAGTCTCAGGTCCATTTCATATGCTACTTGTTCCTTCTCTTTGCAATGTTTCTTATCCCCACCGGAGAGAAAAATGACTTGCTTCCTCCCAGCTTTTAGCCTTCTATTCGAATGTCATCTTACTAATGTAGCCAATGATTTTAAATTAGAATTCCATAATGTTTTCTACTCCCCTTCTCCTTCAATTAATTATTATCTAATACCCTCTATTTTGTTTACTGTCTTCCCCATGAATGCAGGCTCTCAAGAGGGATGTGGTCCACCTTGTTCTTTGCACACCCAAGACAGTGACTTCTCAGTGAATGAATGATATAGTGCATTTTCCCATGTTATAACTTCTGAGAGTATGTCCACATTTATCTATAATATATGTAGCAGATCACTAAAAATCTCTCTAGCGGGCAGAAAAGAGTCTCACCGGTTTCAAAGACTTCTGTTTCCCTAATTCCTTTTGTACTGTTGAGATCTGGACACACGGAAAAATATCCAAAGTGAGGAAGTTACATTTGGCCAAGATAGATATATGAAGAAAAGTACACATTGTATCAGAGCACAGCGATTCTGCATAGCCTACAAAACTTTGAAACTTCCCATATTTGACTTTCCCTTTTTTAATAATATTTCTCCTCTTGCAGTTTCAAAATAAAAACAGTTCTTGTCTAACTGGAAGTATTTAGAATATTCAGCTTCAAACTCCTAGAAGAAATGGAAGAAGCTAGCCTAGCGCTATTACCCAATTGTTTCACAGAAGGCTCTTGATAGAAACAAAACAAACAAGGAACAAGCCTTCTGCACAAGAAATGCAAGTTCACTAAACAAAGATTTCATTTTGTCTTAACTCCAAGCAAGAGAAGTACTTTTGGAACTGTAGTGGGTCATACTGTGTAACTTCTCTTCAGTTAATGCTGTGGACTGAATTTTTGGCCCCCCAAATCTATACACTGAAGTCAATGTTGATCACTTTTTCCTTTCATGGGCCCAGATACCAGACACACACAATTTAAGAGGAAAGGGTTTATTGTGGCTCTTGATTTCAGAGATTGCAAACCATATCTGATTAGCTCCAGGGTAAAATCATCATGGCAGAAGAGCCTGGTGGAGCAAAGGTGCTCAATTAAAGACAGCTGGGAAGCAGAGCAGGGACATAATGTCCAAGAGGAAGGGGTCAAGGAACAGATGCAGCATCCAAGGTCCGGCTTCGTGGCCCACCCAGGCATACCCAGAGTGTACTTTATCCTGCCTGGGGGGCTCACCACCAGTCAAGCTGTTCACGAAGTCCTACCCCTGGTACCTCAGAATGTGACTGTACTTACAAGCACAGTGTTTAAAGGGATAATTAAAATTAGGTCACTAGTACAAGCTCTACTGCAGCACGACTTGGGGTCCTTACATGAATGAAGAATTTGGTACAGCGACATCATACACAGGGAGAAGACTGTGCCTAAAAGGCACTTGAAAAAGGGGTCTACTTCGCAGCCAACCAATAAATGTCATAGATTTTGGTCGTAAAATATTTTATTAATAGGTACACATACATTATAGTTTTGTTCTTTCCCTAAATTAGAAGTTTTCTTTCAGATAGATGATAGCATGTCACTGGATTCACTCTTTCACTTAGGAGCTTATCAGGTACCCACTAAAAGCAGGACACTAAGAACTTCATGGCAGGAATAGATACTGAATGGTTCTACACATCAAAATAAAAGAACTGGAAATCTTCTCAATGAATGATTTTGCAAACTGTAGAGCATTTTCAACTCTTTCTCACTACTTCTAGATCAGAAATATTTTGGTTAACAGTTAAACCTGAGGAAGCCAGGAGAATACCAATTTTCTGAAAGAATGAGTCACTGTCACTTAATTTACACATAGTTTTTGATTTTTCTATTCATTTTGTCTTTATTCTTCTATTGTTCATATATTCAATGTTTTTTAATTTCACAAACTGTTATTTTATAATTATGAATTTTAGAATTCTATTATTTTAGAATAATATAATTCTATTCTTTTAGAATAATTCTATTCTAAAATCATTTTACTAATCAGTAGAATAGAATTGATAAACACAAGGCAAACTTCTTACAGAATTAATGAAAAGTAGTTTAGCTGACTAAATTAATGGCACAAGTTGTATCTCTCCATACTTCACCACCAGATGAGCAATCTTAATTACACATTAAAAACACTGCTTAACTAAGACCATGTGTTCTCTTTACACAGGTATTCATAATTGCTAGTTCTTGAGAAAATATATCCACAAATATATTTTACACTAGTTTTACTTTCACTTTTGCAACTATCCTGCAAATTAGCTAAATGATTATTATTTTTATTTCATTTGAGACCATAGAGGAACACTGAATTAGCTAATGCAGCAAACTCCAAATATGTACTTAAATTCAAAATAATATAACCACAAATTATCAAATTTTAATTCATTTAATCTTTCAGTTTCCACTAGATGAGGTACAGTCCACCTTTAGCACAACAGGAAACAAAATACTACTGATTCAATGAAGTATTTTAATTTCCATAAATTAAGATTAATTTATAGCAATAGTTTTATTTTCCATTCCTGGTTCAAAAACTGCATAAAAATGAATGCAACAAAAAATAACAAACCTATTTAAAAAAAACCTGAAGAATCAAATGTAAGCAAGAACAAAGGTAGGAAACTACTATTTAACAGTTATGTTATTAAAATTAACATTTTTATTATGATACAATATAGTATCTACTGTAACAAATTAACATTTAAAATACAATAAAAACATTTCCTCACCAATATTGGGGTGTTTCAAAAGACGGCAGATTCTAGCTTCCCTTTCCAGTTTCTGATGATCTGTTAAAAAAAAAGAAGTCATGATAAAGCATCAAACAATAGATGACAATAAGTAGCAGGCCAAAATGACATAAAGCCTGTGGTCTTTCTTATCCTTTGATTTAAAAAAAAAAAAAAAGCATTTCAAGGTGGACTCAAGTGAAAGCCACATAGTTCAATGATAAATTTTATATTTTATTGGTTTGATGCTTAGTGGAGAGAGGCATACGATATGACTCAATTTACACTTGGGCTGGAAGAAATGGTGAAAATGGCACCCAAAACACTATTATTTTCTCTCTTTACCTAGTAAATATTGTTACATGAATTTAAATAGCTCAACAGGCATATCCATGTATAACACAGGATGAGTATCTGTAAATTGGAATGCCGATGCATCCAGGGCTATAGATACAGTTTACTCCTCAGGGAAAAATGTTTTCTGTTCAGGGAATGAATATTCCATTAACCACTCTCCACATACTTCTTGTTTCGACTTCTTGTGTGTATAATGCTCAACCTGATGTTCCCCAATTCCGTGACTGCTTGCTTATCTTCACCGATCTGTTTTCCTGGTCATTTCTTTCAGAAGCATGACCCAGTACAAATTTCCATTTTAAGAATGATCTTGATACTCTTCTTTGGTTTCCTTGTGGTGGAACATAGGCATATAATTATAACCAGTCACTTACCAAGCACACAGTAACTATGAGAGAGACAAGAACATAGAAACTCATGTTGCTCCTAAGAACAGCACTACTGACGTGACCCCTAGTTGAGGCTTTTTACATAGTTAAGATATTCAACAAGCTCCTGAGAGAGACAATATTATTACCCCATTTTACATAGAAGAAAACTGAAAGGTAATTGGCTTGCCTTAGATTACAGTATTAGTAAGTGGCATCTACCAAATCAGTTCTCATGAATGTCATAAAATGGACTGAAGAGGATGAAGGAGACACCCTATGCCAGTCACTGAATGTATCCCAATGGTCCTCAACCTCTGTGATCTGAGCAAACCCCTACATTCTTAAAAATTACCAAGTACCTCAAAAAGCTCCCATAGTCTGAGTCTAGTATTTATCCTATTCAAATTTTAAAAAGAAAATTTTAAACATGTTTCCTTAAAAATATTAGCTCATTGCATAGTTTAAAAAGTAACTACATTTAACAAAGTTAATTTCTTATTTGGAAATTAAAAATTAAAGAGTATGGATGGTAAACCTTATCAAGATAACATTAGATAATATTTTACTCTTTAAAAAATCATTTGTGTGCAATCTCCATGCCTCTCTCTGAATGTTTGTACATATTTAATCATACACAGGTGTATACAAAAATATATACACATATCTATAAATATAATTTTTCTATACCATTTGAAGATTACTTACCAATATCAAGGTTCTTTACCCCTAAAATTTTAGTGTGCATTACTTAGGAATTGGGAAACTTTCTTGCTATCATAGTATACGTACTAACTGCAGCATATTTTTACTGATCGTATTCCCATTTTTTTCCAGCTTAACACTAATGATGCCCTCTCAAGCAGCATTCAGGCTACTATCAGGTGGCAGTCATTTCTCTTTAACCTGTTTTAACCTGCTGTATTTCCACAGCCTGTCTTTTATGACTTTTATATTTTGAATATCACCAGGTCTGTTTTTTAAGAGAAATTTTCTCATATTGGATTTGCCAAATATTTTCTCATGATTTTATTTAGGCTACGTTTTTCTGCAGGAACATTACTATCTAATGCTATCACTTTTGGAGGTACATTTTGTCTATCTGCACCTCAAAAGTGATATTAGCTTTCATAACCAGTTCAAGGTGCCATTAATTTCTCCACTAAATAATTACTTCTTTCTTTTGTAACTTACAAATACGTGAGGAGATATTTTAAGACTTTGCAAACATACTTTTCTTCATCAGAATTTCCCTCTGGATTTAGCATTTGGTGATAAAAATGTGCCTCTGCCAATCTTTATTGTAACAGGAGAGAAGAGATGGTTTTCCAACTCCAGTATAGTAATGTATTTTTCATGACAAATAATGTATTTTACACAACAGTCAAAAGAAAGCCATTGTTTTTGTATTCTTACAAATATTTTTGATGCCTACCATACTAGGAGATAATTATATTCTCAGATTTGCTTTTATTTTCAGCCTAGTTTAAGAATATGAAGAACATTTGACCTTATGAGGATATACAGGTGGAAAAACAAGTAATTTAATGCAGTCATTCTGAATACTACCTCCTCCACAGAGCTGGAAACCAAGGACTTCACACATGCTAAATAAGCACTTTACCCCAACCCAATATTCTTTCATCTTATCCCCAAACTCAACATATGATAGTCTCATAAAGGTCAGGTGCCAGATGCAGTATAAAACCAGCGAATGAACTTTATGGGCCATATCAAATGAGATTAAATACTCTAATGTTTAACTCAAATATATTTTCAACATTATATACTGTCCAATATAACAAGGTTTACTCTGTTAGTTTTAAATTTTCTTGCACTTTAAACCAATCTTTTATTCAGGCACAATTTTATAACATGATCTACTAGTCATCTGGAAAACAATGCTTCAAGAAGTTAGTCTTTTCTATTGATGACATATTTCAGAAAAGTAACATTTGTTAATAGCAACACCAATCTCATCACAAGAATCCTTAGGTGTGAAAATTATTGAAGCCCAAATGGGCAGATACATGTTTTCTAAAATTCTAACGTGTTTGAAAGCTCAAATTAGAATACTGGAATAAGTTGTGCCACTTGCTGTTGTTTTCCTTGAAGATAGGCTCACTTAGTTTGTTTTTGAGAAAATGTGTGTGGAACATTTCAGCCCCAACATTCAGAGCTTGTTTTTCAGACATTCTTTCCAGTAAAATATAGTGTTCCATCAACAAGCAGATAGCTTACTTCCCAACTCAAACAACTACACCAACTGCACCAAACCAAACTTTTATAGAGAATAAGTGTTTTATGTATATTTCTTATTTAGTCATGTGTAATGTTGCAAAGTACATAATCAAAAGTCAAGATTTAATATCAGGGATTATTTTAATTGCTTCATCAAGGACAATCTAAAGTGAAATTGCCTATCTTTTTTTTTCCTCCTGTGAGTGCATGTGCTGAAAAATACAAACAATCCTAAACCTACTGCTTTGATTCCTGTAAAGGCTTCAGCAACTTTATTTCTTTTACATTTGTGATGCAACACATTGTCTATACATGTGAAAGAGGCACCCTATTTTTTTTTTAAAGGCAGTAACAGTTTGACTTTGCAGATCTCCTAAGGGAGTTCTAGGAACTCTCAGATCAGCAATCCACATTCTGAGAACCACTGGCCTATGCTACAAAGAACTGTAGCAGGTAGTAGCTTTTTTTTTCAATTTAAAAGAACATTTTACATACATACAGTTTTATCAATATTCAGAGAGAAACCTGTCTTAATGAAGCAACAGCACAGCATAGATTCCTAATCAACAGATATTTTGCCCTTATCATTATCTAAGACTATATATAATTCAAATATAAATTCTTGAAGTCTCTATCTTGTGAACAATCCTTATTCTGAAGATAAATTAGTTCCAGAATATTATTATTTTTAAGAATGCAAATAAACACAATGGAGTAAACTGGATTTTGAAAATATTATCTTAAATAAGTACCAGTAGAATGTTAAATGTGAAGCATATGAAAGACTTGTGAATTTAAATTAAAATTTTGTTACGAAAGACATGCAAATAAATATGTTAAGCCATATGAGATGCATACAGGTAAATCATATGAAATGTATATGATTGTTAAATAATGAAAAACAAGGAAGCAAAAGACCTTTACAAACAATAAATCCTAGAATTTTATCAACTTAGATAAAACATGTCTTATTTAGCCAGTTGTTATGGAATGAATTATTGCCCTGAAAAATTCATACGAAATTCTAATCCCCAGGCCTCAGAATGTAACTATATTTGGAGATGAGGTTTCTATAAAGGTAATTAAGTTAAAATGAGGTCAGCAGTGTAGGCTCAAATCCAACATGACTGCTGCCCATCTAAGAAGAAAATCAGGGCACTGATACACATCCAGTGAGGACCATACTAGGCGACTGGATGTCTACAAGCCAAAGAAAGGAGACCTCAGAGGAAGCAAACCTTCTTGCCACTCTCCAGGGACGCTTTCAGCCTCCAGATCTACAAAAAAATAAATTACAAGCTGTGGTACTTCCTTATGACAGCCCAAGCAAGCAGACCCACCTAGTATTAGCTTTCCCCCGCTGTGTATCAAACACCACAGATTTAGGACACAATTTCTAAGAGTCAGGAACCTGAGTATGGCTTAACTGAATCCTTTGCTTTAGGATTTTTCCCAAGGCCATAGTCAAGGTGTGTCAGCCAGCCACAAATAGGGTCACATCTAACATCCTGATTGAGGAAAAATCTGTTGCTAAGTTCATACTCGCTGACAGTATTTACGTTCTCAAGGGTTTCAGAGCTGAGGGTCATAGCACTTGGCTGATTGTTGGCTAGAGGCATCTAGTTCAGTGTATATAAATCTGAAACATGGTTCCTCAAAGCCAAGGAGACAGAGTCCAGAAAACAAAGGGGAAAGTCACTATTTTATTGAGCCTAAGTACAGAAGTGGCATCTCATCATATTTGCCATATCAGGTTATTTAGGAATAAGACACCAGGCTGGTACAATTTCAATAACAAGAGCATGAACCATAGGGGGCAAAGATTGCTGGAGTCACTTAAGAGTTTGCAACAGCAGCCTTTACAACAATAGCACTGATGAACTTTCTCTTGCTAAGCAGCTCCACTTATTTTTTCTTTCCTATAATCATCTAACTTAGTGATCCTCTATGAATCATGAGGTATTCTGCCTCTCCCAGCAGGGACTGTTTTGACATTCCAAACATGATGATATAACTAACTTCTAGTTTTCAGGAAACTAGAATTTAACAATAATGGAAATGCATATCACCTGGTGTGCTTCAAATTCAATGTCA